GTAGATGCGCCCGTAGTTGAAGACCTTCGCGGGCTCCCGGCTGATGCCCACCGTGGCGGCCGTTTTGCTGTGCAGGTCTGTGCCGTTGCTCTTCTTCCCCTGCAGAGTCATCCAGCCGAAGGCCGTGCAGCCTGCCGGGAGGGGAGCAGGGGTTGGGCGCCCAACAGCACCGAGCTCAGGGGGTCACCAACCGACCCAGCAAGCCCATTCCCCGCCCCGGTGCAGCCCCAGCTCACCGTGCATGCCGGCGAAGTGCGCCTCGCCAAGGACAGCGGCTATCCAGAGCTCCTGGGAATCCACGTCCGCGCCCACCAAGGAGTAGCCAGGCGGCACCTGGACCATGGCTTTCAGCTCACTGCCCACCCGGTCAGCCTGCGGGACACGACGCCCAGCTCAGCACAAGCCCTGCACCTCCCTCTCCTCCTGAGCGGCACAGGAGCAGCCTCGCTCAAGTGCGCCTCGCCAAGGACAGCGGCTATCCAGAGCTCCTGGGAATCCACGTCCGCGCCCACCAAGGAGTAGCCAGGCGGCACCTGGACCATGGCTTTCAGCTCACTGCCCACCCGGTCAGCCTGCGGGACACGACGCCCAGCTCAGCACAAGCCCTGCACCTCCCTCTCCTCCTGAGCGGCACAGGAGCAGCCTCGCTCCTACAGCTGCGGGGTGCTGGCACAGCACTCCCCATGCCCCTACATTTTGCTCCGAAACTCAAAAACTGCATTTCACACGCACGTGGGGCATCACGCCCTTGGTTACTCCCCCCACACTCCTCCAGGATGGAAGAAAGGGAGCTTGAAGAACAGAAACCAGTGATTTGGCGTTTTCTTCTCCTTTCACCAAATTTTGAAGCTCAGGAGCCTCTGCTGGTTCCTTCCTCTCTCCCAAAGTCAAAGCATGTGAGCAAGAGAGAGGCCCCAGCACCAGCCCTGCCACCTCAATCCCCAGCATCCAGCCCCAACTCTTCTTTCCAACCCAGGCTGCTCCCACCAGTCCAAACTACACAGAGGGTGCCCTAAAACACTCCAGCAAGGACCCCAGCGTGGCCATACCCGGGCGTTGCTGGCTGTCAGCCACGTGGGCTCCACCGCCCGGCGGGTGATGGTGCCTGCAGTCACCACCTGCGGCAGGATGGCTCCATAATCATCTTCCTCGTTATAGTCGGGGTGCCTGGGACAGAGGGTGAGGGTGAGCATCATCCTGCAAGAGCCCTCCCGGAGTGGCATAGAGGGAACTGTGGTCCCAGCTGGGGCCATTCCTCCCCGTACCTGGTCACCACACGAGGCAGCTCCCCTTTCTTCAGCCACACCACCATCTGGGAACTGGGGGGACACGTGGCAGGTGAAGTACTGAGCCCCCCACATCCACACGACCTCCCCCGGCCGCAACGCAGCCTCCACCTGCAGGGACGTCGCAATTCGGCTGAAGGCAGCTGCTCACCTGATCCGCTTGTGAGCGTTCCTCCAAAACGAGATCATTTTGTTAATCTCGAGGGCTCTGGTCCCGTGGGTGCGGCCCACGGCGGCCCGCAGGGTGCCGTCCTCCATCTGGGGCAGGAAATCCTTGGCAAAAGGGCTTCCCACGTTGTTATCGTTCCCGTCCTTTAGCAGCAAAAGATGCCAGGGCTCAGCGTGCCACCACTCCATATCAATAAAGCCCTGTGCATCCTCCTGCCTCAGCTACAGAGATGCATTTCCACCACCCAATCCCATGGGACAAGATCATGAGAGTCCCAGGGGTGCTGCAGCACTGGGGTGACAGGCAAGGTGACACAGCTGTGCAGCAGGACCAGGGAAGATGGGACGCAGGGTGGCCAGGAAGAGCCCCAGGAGCACCCAACTTGCCTTGTGAGGCAGCTTGAAGAACCAGCACCCAGGGATGTTGACATCATTGTAGGGACCATTGCCGTGGTGGTACAAGGGGTGGCTCTTCACCTCCACCGGCTCGTACAGCTCATCCGTCTCCTCCTGCGACCAGCGATGCAAGGTGATGCCGGCAACACCCCCGGGCATGGCGGGAAGGAGAAATCGAGGAAAGAGGGACCAACCCCCCACCCCACAGGAAACCCCTGTACCTGCGCCTGGCTCTGGTCCGCTCTGCCCGTTTTCTCCTCCACATCCACCTCCAGCTGACTCAGCTCCTCCACCTACAGCAGAGAGGGACCGTGGGGGAAGCGGGGTCATACACCAATTTTCCAAGTGATTGAACACTTATTAAATTAATTTCTTACTTCCAGCTCCTGGAGCCACCCATGGGGCTGGTTTTTGCATGCATACGGGAAGAAGCCCAGCCCCACATCTCCCTCCCACCAAGGGACCCTCCATCCCTTCCTTCACCTTCTGCCACATCGTGCTGCCATCCATCAGCAGCAGCTCATCCTCCATGGCAGCCTCCAGCCCCCTGCTCCTTGCCTTTCTCCAGGCAGTGCTGCCTGTACAGGTACTCGATCACCCTGGCAGGAGAGAGGGCAGGGCTCACGCACCCACAATGGGGCCTGAGGCTCCACCGCAGCACCTCGGCAGGGTCCCAGGGAGCTCCCCAACCCCGGGGGTGCAGCCCCCAGCTCGCCACCCCACTACGAACCCCCTCCCCTGTATGGGCAGGGAGGGCCCTCCACCTCCGAGGGGGCTGCTGGCAAATTGTCCTGCCGCCCGGGCACCAGGTAGCCCCAGCCGTGCTTCTCCGAGTAATGGAGGGGGAAGCCGTCCCAGGCCAGGCGCATCAGCTTCGGGGTCACCCTCATCTGCAGGCTGATGAGGCTGGGTCCCGGCACCCACCCTGCCTCCTCCAGGCGCGGGCACAGCTTGCGGTACCAACTGGGGAGCAGCAGGGATGGGTCAGAGAGCGCAGGGCAAGCCTTGGGGACACCCGGGGTCCCCAACTCACCCTGGGTGGCCTGGCAGGTGCTGGAGTCTCTTGGGTTGCAGTGCGACCGTCTTCTTCAGACGCTCCAGGTGGACCTGGCTCGCAGGGGCTTTCAGCTCCTCGTCCTCGCTGGGGGGACCAGGGTCTGGTGGCGCAAGGAGGAATGGCTGGCAAAGAGCCCTCTGTGCCACCCCGCCAGGGACCTCAAACCAGCCCCCCGCCACGTGCCCCAGCATGGGGACACAGGCCAGAGATGCTTCACCCTGACGGCACCAAGGAACCACATCCCTTTGTCTGGGCACCCGCAGGAAGGTGTCTCTCAAGCACCCCTCAACCCCAGGGACCACCCACGCTCACCCTCCTGCCACTCCTGCGTGGACCCGTCTGTGCCCACCGCCGCTGCAGAGGCGCCGCTATTCGTGTCCTGATCCTTCTTCTTCTTCTTCCGCGGATTCTTCTTCTGCTTAAACTCCTGTGTGTCCCACTCGAGATCCCAGAGCCAGGGGTCATCCTTGTACCTGCCGACACATCGTTGTTGCACCACACCACGGCTTTGCTCCCGCCCACAGCACCCGCCCACAGTCCCCCATGGACCACCCAGCGTCTGGTCTCTGTCCTGCGAGCAGCAGGACCTGCACCCCCAGCCCACAGGTACCTGCCCTCGTGCAGCAGCTGGCAGGCATCGTTGGCCAGGTTCATCAGGGACTTCTTCATCTCCTTCTGCAGCTCCTCATAGATGCCCTGAGCATCATCCAGGTACCTCTTCCAGTTCCTGTTGACCGGCAGGTAGGACACCCCCATCTCCAGCATCCCTGCAAACGTCACGGGGTGGGGGCACCTACAGCCCAAAGCAGGAAGGAATTGGATGTCTGCTGGAAGGGATTTGCTCTGGAAGCACCAGACTACAATGGACATGAAAGTGTCTTCACTTACAGTTTTCCAGCCCCACACAACCCTCAGTGCTCTTCCCCTAAACCTGAAGGATCCTTTTATCTTCTGCCTGCCCTGCACATAAACTGCTGCCCTAAAAACAACCCTCTACAATAACCCCAAAACTGTATCACTCCAATCTGCCTCATTAAGTCTGCTGACCTCCAGCCACGCTGTGCTGCTGTTTATTCCTTCTCACCTACAGAACGGGGCTTTTAAGTCCCTCCTGAAAAGGGGTTCAGGGCCCCCCAGCCTCCCACCACCACCCCAAGAACAAAAAACACCCCCAGAAGGACCACCATCCTCCCTGCTGCCGGCCAAGCCTGCAGGCCTTTGGCCAACGCCAGCCAGAGCTCAGCGGCTCTCACCTCTCCATGAAGAGCGGCAGCTGCTCCTGAAACACCTCGTGGGTGGCCTGGACATCGTGGGCACAGTACGACATCAGGTCCTGGGGGCAGAGGCAGGTGAGAGCAGGCAAAGCAACCACCCCTCTGCCAGCACGGGGCAAGGCACCGGGGCTGTGGGAGGATGTAGGGGGACATCACAGCCCCACACACACCAAAAGCCCTTGCAAGAAAGGCCAGAAAAATGGAAACTACCCCAGCAGCTGCTCCCACCCCGGTCCCACCTCCAGCTCCCGCTGTCGGATACTGGGACAGCCACCCGCACCTGGAAGTGACTCCTGATGTCGGCCATGGTCCCCTTCACAAAGAGCTCCCGGGCCTCCTTCTCCAGCGGCTCACCCCCGACGTAGAGCGCGTGCACGTCTGCCAGGTTGTTGATGCTGCTGACGTGCACCCAGTCCCACGAAGTGATCTGCGAACAGCGGCGGGTCAGACGGTGCGGGACAAGGACCAGCCACGGCCAAGATCAGGAGAGGGAAAGGATGCTGCTGCTCCGTTTCAAACCAAGGCCACCTCATCTAGGAGGCGCCGGGAGAGCT